ATCCGTTGAGGGCTGAGGATTTGCCAAAAATCCTAAGTCAACGTCTGATACACGTTGCTGTTTAGTCTTTTCACAGGAGAAAGACGAAGTCTACGTATTCAATATCGTAGCACTAAAAGAGTTAACTCTTTTAGCATAACGTCACATGCGGAACGGACTTAAAACAATCCGCATGCTAGCCCGACTCAAACGGTAGTCGGTAAAGGCGCATCAAACCCGTTGATGGCTGAGGATTTGCCAAAAATCCTATAAATATGCGAGTCATTGACGCATCAACTTTATGAGTTGGTCTCGTGACTCGAGCATCCAACGACCTTGGGATAAGATCCATGCTCCAATTCCTTAAGAGCTTAAACCGTGTGTACTCCAGCAGACGTACGAGTATAAACTGTGTCAAATGCCGAACAGTGCATCATAATGAAGCCTGGACGCCGGACAACGCGTCGCAATGAAGCTCAAACGCCAGACAACGCGTTATAGATGAAGATTCAACGCAGTCAATCGATGATAAGTTCTGTGTTGAAGCAGCAAACTCGAGCCAAAAAGTCAAGAAATCAAGAATCGACTTCAAGTTCAAATTCCAACAACGGTCAGACAATAAATGCAGCACCGGAACCCCTACAGGCATTCTACAAAGCACTGAATAGCCTGAAGGAATTGAAGGAATCCAGAACAGAAGTCATTCCAGAGTCCCGTTACACCGACTGAAGGTTGGGGCAATCACATCCAAAGTATTCCAGACTCTTCTATAAAAGAATGAGACTGAAATACTTTGGAGGGGGTATCTGTAGGCGTATAAAATTGCCTATAGGTCCCTTAGCACAGCTCGACGCCGATTTAACAAACGGACCACCGGGCGACGTATCCAAACAAGACCGTTAGCTCGCCAACGCTGAAGCCAAGCTATACGCAACGGAGCAGGTTAACGAGGCGACAAATCGCACCCAAGCATTGGAATGCATCCACTCGCACGCGGAATCAAACCAATGTTTAGGTGAATCACCGAGTCATCTAAACAAGAGCGAACTCGGATGAATCACGATCAAATCAACATCAATTCCGGACTCAAATTCAGAAGTTGATTTACTGCCATATCAGGAACCCGACTCACTGCCAAATCTGGAATCAAGTCAAAGAGTCGTTGCCAAGTCAATCAACCACACAAGAGAACCAGAACCGGAAACAAAGGACGAAACGGACAAACACCCGGGGACTCGGCCGAAACCGAACCACCCCAGGGTGGCTCGGCCAAAGCCGAGCCACCCCAGGGTGGCTCGGCCAAGGCCGAGCCACCCTGAGGTGGCTCGGCCAAAGCCGAGCCACCCCAGGGTGGCTCGGCCAAGGCCGAGCCACCCTGAGGTGGCTCGGCCAAAGCCGAGCCACCCCAGGGTGGCTCGGCCAAGGCCGAGCCACCCTGAGGTGGCTCGGCCAAAGCCGAGCCACCCCAGGGTGGCTCGGCCAAGGCCGAGCCACCCTGAGGTGGCTCGGCCAAGGCCGAGCCACCCATGGGTGGCTAGGCTCAGAACTGTGCAAATGCACAGTTCTGAGTGCCTATAAATAGGCCTTGTGCTCATTTGTTTCAGAGGTTGGAAATTTTGGAGAGAGGCGAAGCCCTGCTGGATTGAAGACTCAGATCTAAAAAAGATCACAACTTTGAAGGCTTGGAGACTTGGACTTTCAGATCCGGTGCTCGGCGATCACCAACGCCAAATAAGGCAGGAGTTCGAGAGGATTGGATTTGAGATCTACACGATCACACTCCGGATCTAAGCTTGGTTCTTAGATCCCGAGATTCGAGCGGTTGTTTCCTTGGTGAAACAATCCCTCCCGGCTATTATTCCCTTGGTGGAATATTACCCGTCATATCGTGTAGATCCGACCGGATCGAGATCACGCGGTGGTCCACGGCAAATAACCCCGGCGCAGGCAAACAACCCACAAAGCGAGTGACCGGATAACAGGAGCTCGCGATTAGTTCGACAAATAAGGAAAAAATTGTAATCTTTACTTCGTTTTCTTTGATTTTTCATTGTAACCGGATCTTATAAAAAGACCGGATCTTTGTAACGCATAAAGTTGTTAACTGAGATAGCAATGATATCAACAATGAAGAAAGACATAATTTTTCCCGCGAACAGAGATTAAGACTAAGCTTAAATCCGGAGGAATAGGGTTCGGGTTTCAGATCTTTCGAACTCCACTCTTTATGCACAGGAACTCGCTAAGATCTGCTAACCCTCGCTGTAAATTCGTGGCTCCACTCTCCAATTCGGCAGCGTTTCGCCCTCTTGATCTCCTCCCCTCTGAAATGAGCTCCTAGGCCTGTATTTATAGGCTTCGATTGGGGGGGTTTCGGATAAGAATGATGGATTTGATCATATCTTCAGTTAATAACGGCCTAACCATGTTTGTGGATGATATTAAGTCAGTTGAGAACCCCTGGAACAGATAAATCCCGAGAAAACCGCTCAAAACTGTCGAAAACACGTCCGGGGGTCAAAAAAGCGCGACGAGCCCTGCTGACCTGCGGAGGGCACGGGTCGGCCAGTCCCGTCCAGCGCCGGCGCGGGTCCGTCGCCTCTGCCGAACTTCTTTTTTTGGTGCTTTGCTTTTCAGGACTTATACTTTTTACCGTTTTGTGTACTTGCGTGTTGACCGACGGGCACGAACTGATTAACGTGCGTGAGCTGATGGACGCGCGCATGTTGACCGATGCGCGCATTCGGATAATTGTAGGTGGCTAGTGAGCGCACGATACACAGTTGGTTCGCCATTCTGGCTCATGCTCTTGTCAGCGTCAGATAATCCTCCTAGCCTCGGATAACGACGTTTGTCATCTTCTCTTCGTCTCGAGCTGTGTGCGGACACCTATAGGCATTTTTAGACACCTACACCGATGCAGTACCCTAGGCAATACTGAGCTATGCCCATCAACGGTACCCATGCAAACATATGCAACTCTAACTTGTCGTTTCCTATCGTGACGAAACCAACACATGAGGCTACACACCCCCAAGGGTCCTTGTGTGCTCAAACCCTACACGTACACCTCATGGTTGTGCACGTGTATGGACGTACGAGACCATGCATCTTGTCCACAACTATGCCTACATAACAATAAATGCGTGTGGAAAACATGGAGAAATCAGTCATTGTATCATGACAATTTCAGGGAATTGACAGGGAGTCACCGGTAACTAATCCTAGAGTCACCGGGGACTGATCTGGCAAAGAATAGTCACTCAACAGCCTACTTCTGATCCGATTCCATCTCTCTCTCTCTAGGTGGGTAGTGGAGGATGGAATTATAAATGAAAAATCTACTCAGAGCTTGTGTAATCTAGTAGGTGAATTACAGCTTCAAGGATTGACGCTACACAAAGTAGCATGCATTAACACTAGTAAAAAGAGGTCCAGCCCCAACAGGTGTATAGAACCGTTGGGGCTGGTTTCACTTGCCCCAACGGTTTAAACTGTTGGGGCAAGTTGATTTAACCCAAACGCATGAGGGAGGGAAATTTCCCCCCATATTTTTGCCAAAAAAGAAAAAAATATTTCAGAAAATCCCCACAACCCACCGTTTTCTCTCTTGCCCCATATTTTTGCCAAAAAAGAAAAAAATATTTCAGAAAATCCCCACAACCCACCGTTTTCTCTCTTGATCTTTCTCTCTCGTCCGTTCTCTCTCTCTCTTCCTCTTTCTCCCTCGCTCTCTCTCATCAGAAACCAGCCCTAATCCCCACAAACCACCGCTCTCTCTCTCTCGCTCTCTATCGTCGCCGACTTCGGATTTCGCCGCAGACGTCGGATTTCGCCGCCGTCGTCGAGCCTGCTGCGCCTTCTCTGACCTAGGGGTTTTTGAACTCGCCGCTTCCGCCGGAGTTCGCCGCCTCAGTTAGAGTTCTCCGCCGCCATTGACCCCTGAAGTTCGCCGCCGACTTCGACACCGCAGTTTACCAACGAATCCCATCAAGAACCCTAGTTCTTCCTCCCCAATTCGGAGCTCGCCGCCTATCACTCTGAACTAGGGCTTCTTCTTCGAGATCAAGAACGGGAGTTCTCTGCACTTCCGCTTGTTCTCCAGGTAATTAAGAGTCCTGAAAAGATTTCTCTTTTTGCAGATTGATTATTGAGAGTAGATTTCTGAAATACATAAGCAAACCGGCATATATAAGCTTCGAAACATGTGATCTCTGGTTCCTTATAGCTAGTTACTAGGATTAGGTACTAATATTGCTTAATTTTCATTGAAAATGCTTGAATTAGACATTTGTCAAGGACATCATTATGAGATTCTCAACAAAGCTTGAAAAAACTAACAAGAAAATAACACCGACATGGGAGTATGCGGTAATATGGTAGAACATGGAAAGTAATTAGCTATGCCTCATCATCATACACGCATGGTAACAGATCTTCCAAAAAAAAGAGGGAAAAATTTTGTCAGTTTTAATGGCAATTTGTCAGTTTTAATCAGCCAGATGTATATTATTGTTACTTTCTATTCCAAGAACTTTGCATATCCCTATCTGACATTCTTCATGTTTCTTGAGCTAAACAAGGACATCTCTACTTAGTATGCTTATTACTTAGTTGTAGTGTGAAGAATTGTCAGTTTTATATTTTTTCTTCTCAAAAAATTGATGCCACAACCTTCTATTTATGTATCTGCATGGTTGTTCATAATTGACATGGTACTCTGCTTAAGGATCTTTTTTACATTGAATTATAATTTTGTGATGTGATGTCAAGAGTTGATATTAAGCTAAATTTAGTCATTATGAATTGGTATTGCATTTTATGAATGATATTTACCGGTTGCAATCCATTATAAATTAAATTAACCCGGTCTGTGTGCTTTGCAAAGTCTTGCTAAGCTAAATTGTACAATTTACTTTCTTGAAATTTGTTTATCTTTATTTTGATCATGCCACATTTTTAATGTGCTGAATTTACTTTCTAAGAGTTTTTATCGCTAACTTTGACTAATTTAGGTTGGTATGACACGTGACTATATTAGAGTTAAAGATTGGATGTATGTGAATCGTGAAAAACGCACAAAGCCTGAATTCATTGAAGGAGTTGCTTCTTTCATAAAATTTGCGCATGAACACGATAGGATCCAATATGGGATGATTCTTTGTCCGTGCAGTCATTGTGGGAATAGGCTGCATCGTAAGGAGGAAGATGTAGAACTTCACATTGTTAAGCATGGTTTTATTAAGGATTATACAATTTGGGTATATCACGGAGAAATCGTAGCTCCTAATATTGCCGATAATGAAGAAGAAGACAATGAAGAAAATTTATTTCCAGAAGAGGAGATGGAGGAAATGATAGAAGTTGCTTTTGGTGACTCCAATCTTGCTGAAGACTATCATCCTTCCGGTCAAGAACATGTAGATGAGTATGAGAAGTACATGAAAGATGCCAAAAGACCAATTTATGAGAATGCAAAATATTCCACACTATCATGGTTCGTTCAACTTTTCCAGATTAAATGCCTAAATAAATGGAGCAACAAGTCATTTACGATGCTTCTAAAATTCCTGAAAGATTCTATGCCTCTGGGGAACAATGTGCCTCAGAGCTGGTATGAAGCTAAAAGGATAATGTCAGATCTGGGTTTGAATTGTGAGAAGATTCATGCATGTCCTAATGATTGTGTGCTGTTCTGAAAAGAAAATTCTAAACTGAAAGAGTGCCCCAACTGTGGAGTTTCTAGATATAAGAAGAAAGCACATGCTAACAAGAATGACATACCAGTCAAGGTGGTACGATACTTTCCTGTGACACAGAGGCTGCAGAGGCTCTACAGGTGTAAGAAGACAGCGGTGGCAATGACTTGGCATGACCGTGCTATTCCAAGTGAACATGGTAAAATGAGTCATCCAAGAGATTCGCCAGCATGGAAGGATTTCGACAAGTTGCATACAACATTTAGTCGGGATCCCCGTAATATTAGGCTCGGACTAGCTAGCGATGGTTTTTGCCCCTTTAGTTTTAATGGCAATCCGCACAGTACATGGCCTGTTATAATGATGATATATAATCTTTCACCGTGGTTAGCGATGGATCAATCATACTTTCTGATGCCTCTTCTTATTGATGGGCCGAGTTCACCGGGAAACAATATCGACGTCTACCTTCGACCTCTCATCGATGAGTTACGATCTTTATTCGTTAATGGTGTAAAGACATATGATGCAGACAAAGGGGAAACATTCACGATGCGTGCAGCCTTAATGTGGACAATTAACGACTTTCCTGCATATGGAATGCTATCAGGTTATTCCGTACACGGTTATAAAGCATGTCCTTACTGTCATGCCGATACATCATCGACATGGTTGCCCTTTAGCAAAAAAATATGTTATTGCGGTCATCGACGTATGTTGGAAGAAGATCATCCTTATAGGGATGATACTGTTCACTTTGATGGTACTACAGAGCATAGAAAGGCTCCAACCCCCTTATCCGGAAAGGACATACTTGCTCAGTGGAATGTTTACGAAAATATAACTTTCGGAAAAGTAAAGGAAAGACATGAAAGACCACAATGATGGAATAAAAAAAGTATTTTCTTTGAATTGCCGTATTGGGAGACAAATATTGTTCGTCACAATCTGGACGTGATGCACATTGAGAAGGGAGTATCTGAGCACATACTTAACTTGCTTCTTTGTAAAGATGGAAAATCAAAAGACAACCTCCAAGCTCGGAGAGATTTGCAGCACTTTAACATTAGAAAAGAATTACATCCTGTACCTAAAGCTGGTAATCTGGGAAAATTTGTACTCCCCAATGCCGTTTATCATATGTCAAAATCAGGAAAAAAAAGTTTTTAGAGGTATTACATGAGCTGAAGGTTCCCACAGGCTTTTCAGGATCATTTAATAAGAAGATAAAGACTGTGAAAGGCAAGATCGATGGGTTGAAGAGTCATGATCACCATGTTATTATGCAACACCTTCTCCCACTATCCCTAAGGACTTCTCTTCCAGAATCCGTTGGTTTAGTGATCAATGAACTTTGCACATTCTTTAGAGAATTGTGTGCTAAAAATGTCGATGACAAGGAGCTAGAAAAGCTAGAGAAAGCGATACCTTTGATATTGTGCAAGCTTGAGAGGATTTTTCCACCGTCGTTCTTTGATATCATAATCCACTTGACTGTTCATCTTGCAAAAGAGGCTAGACTTGCAGGACCGGTACAATATAGGTGGATGTATCCTATAGAAAGGTAACTTTAAATTTCCAATTTAAGCCATTGATATAGTTTTTATCTGTACATTATTGTGTTTAGTAATTTAATGTGAGTTTTTGTAGGTACCTTTTGACTCTAAAAAATTATATACGAAATAGAAATCGGCCAGAGGGTTCTATTATGGAAGGTTATCTCTTGGAGGAAGTAACAACATTTTGTTCCCGTTATTTGGACGAAAATATATAGACAAAGCTCAATAGACCTGTGAGTATTCATGACGGAACATATGGCAAACCAACTTACACGACAATGGGACTCACATTTATTAATGATATACATAGCTTTATCCTCCTCAATAGCATATGCCTCGAGGAAGTTAGAGAGTAAGTATGTTTTATATTAATTGTTATATGTATGTATATATAAAATAATATGATGTTAATGTTATAACAATTCATGTTGAGAACAGAATTCACAAGGATGAATTACGTGAAGAGCATCCTAATTGGAATGTTGAACGATTGGAAAAACATCATCATGATAATTTTTGTAGCTGGTTTATAAATTATGTAAGATTTTCTTTGTCAATATTTATGTGTCATTATCTTAATCTAAACTTGTATCCTTATATAATTACCATACAAACTGTTTTGTCAGGTTCAAGATCCAAATGTAGAATTAACACTGGATAAGGATTTGAGATGTCTATATCCGAGCCGAGAGGTTGCATACTACAATGGATTTGGTGTAAGCGGGTACAAGTTTGAAATCAAGGAGAGAGAAGAATCTCGGACCACCCAGAATAGTGGAATTGCGGCTATTGGCACTGAAGGAATAATTTACTATGGGTATTTAGATAGAATACTCGGTATTCGCTATCCTGGAAGAGCAAACCTAATTTATTTATTCAAGTGTGTTTGGTATCATACAAGAACCGGACATGGAAAGTGGAGAGAAACATATGGAACTTGGAAAGATGAATATGGATTGACTAGTGTAAACACTAAGCTTTTTGAGTTTGAAGATGAACCGTATATATTCCCGGAACAAGCATTTCAAGTATACTACTCAAAGTGCTTGAAACATCCTGGATGGAGTGTTGTTTGTCGATGGAAGCCTAGGAATACTTACGATGTCCCACAATTTGTGGATGTTGACATAGAGGACAATGCTGAGGCAGATTCTGATGATGAAGGACTTAGATTGTTACAAGCTTCTATTTCTATAGATCCAAATGAATCTCAGGTTGAGCATGAAGTTTCATGGGTTCGGAATGATTTTGAACATGAAATCATTGTAGACATTCCTACAATGTCCAAGGAGTCTGAAAAAAGAAAAAGGTAGTAATCACAAAAAAAATTCATACACTCACATACGTTCACTTTGTTACATGTACACACTCATATCATATATTTACACACTCATACACACTCATATCACTCATAACTTTATATGCTAATCATTTTTATACATGTTCACTATATACATGCATATACATGTTCACTATATACACAATGCTTGGTTGGGTGGGCAATCACAATAAACCTGATTATATACATTTTTTTATATGTACATGTTCACTATATACATTTTTTTATGTGTCCATGTTCACCAGGGATTGACGATGTCTGGTAGAGGACCATCAAAGTCTAGGACTAGACGGCTGCCACCTAATAAGCTTTCACAACAGGCAAGGGAGCTATCGGAAGGAGCTAGATGGGAGCTCATCGTCTGGCATCTCCTACCTAGCTTCCCGCAGCATCTACCCCCTAGTATTATAGCATCTTATCATCCATGGCCGATGATACATTTAACAGACCCGCCTATACAGCTTCTGTAACTTTTGATTTTGAATTTTATTTTGTGCACTATACTTGATTTCTTGATATGATTACAACATTTATCAGATGTGGGCGAGACTGATTTGCAGACCATCCCTACGCACTCTATACCAATCTGGACACGTCGACGGGTTAGTATTCATTTAATTATTGTATTAATATTGCATTTTATTTATTAAACAGAACTTACATAATTATTCTTTTATTGTCTAGTTTGGAGGGGAATGCCTCTGCATCCAACTATCAATAGCTCGTCTCTATCACTTGAGAAATTAATCGTCCTAACTGTGCGGCTAAAAAAAACGGGGGGGGGGGGGGGGGGGGGGGAGGGGAGAAGCCGTGCTGATGAATGCGGAGAGTATGGTAATCCAATCAGATAATATGTTTAATGACATCAATTGTTTGAATATACCCTTCTCAGTGTAAAGACCTAAGATTATTTGAGTCCCTTGAACAGATTTATGACTCGAAATGTTATTAATTATATTCTGGGGCATGACTTATGTGCATCATGTGTAGCCTATACTTTTAGGCTTAACATTTGACCTCAAAAAGAATCCATCTGTTGTATTACAATAGTTCAATCAAATGTGAATAAAGGTAGACATTTAATTGAAATATGAATAAATATGTTATCTAATCCAAAATATCTGGACTACAGCACGTCATGCTGCTAGGAGTATCTGACCAAGATAACTAGATAAGTATCTGAACTACATTTATACATGCATTCTGCAAATAAGAAGACTTCGAGTTTTAGTTTTAGAACTTTGAACTTTAGCCACAATCAAAACCAGCATCCATAAGAAAACAAATATGGACATGGGAACAATGGTGCTAAAACATATGATTCAAGCTTATGAAATACTCTTCTCTTTTCAAATTAAACCATTTGCTTCGAATAAAAAGCAGCAACACAGAGTAGACGAGAAACATAAGAAATCCATTAACATTATGCATTCTTCATATACATTAAATATTAAACAATCAACTACTCAACTGATACAACTCAAGATGTGTCGACCACCCCAAATGGGAAACTACTGAGCAAACAAGTGACAACTACTTTGATCAATCTCCAAACTAATCTTTAGCTACATATCTGAATCACGGCACAAAGAGCTTTCTGAAACCAATTGAGCTCTCCAATTTCTCCATCCTACGCACAACTTTATAACATGCATTATACAACTTCAAAACTTTGATGCAAGTTTGCCACGGACGTCCAAGAAGGTTCGATCTACAAATAAAGCCAATCGATTAATGCCCCATCCTGAGAAGAATAAACCAGCATTCCTCTTGCACTTTGATGAGTACTTCCGTGTTACAGGCCCTAATGCTGAGAGATTTGGACAGTATGTGGGGCAAAAGAGCCACCAATACATGGACTTCCCACTTTATAAGAACTGGGGCCCGGATCATGAGCGTTCGTTTGATAAGTTCTTTCTCCAAAGCCCAGGTTTGAATACAATTTTAATCTATTTCTGTCATTGCAAAACTAGCAAGATCTTATTCAATATTCACGTAAAGTGTTTAATGTATTTTGTTGTTAAATATGCAAAAAGATGATGAGTTTTTGCCTGTAGATCCTTATTGTCCTCTTAATATTCCTGCTATATATCGAGGCGTGAAGATAAAGATGCAGGAGAGAGTCCAAGGCAATCGAAATCAGGTAAAGAAGGAGTGTTATGAACTGTGGCTGGAGACTCCCCAAGAGAAAAGAGATGATCTTTTCAAGACAGAGGTGTTCGAAGGGATCGATAAAAGATGGTGGGACGACCTCTGCAAGTTATTTTCTTCTAATAGGAAGCAGGTATATGGTTAACAAATAATTCAAAGATTGGCATGTGCTTATTTTTGGATCACAATCTAAATCTTACATTTTTGTGCAGGTGGAGGCAAAAAGAAATAAAGATAATTGGGAGTCAAAGAAGTGAGGTCGAGCAACCTATACGGGTGGCTCGAGGAGTATGGTTCGGGCAAAAGAGAGAGTGGTAAAATTAATCTTAAGAGTTTTAAAAAATGCATTTATTAATTTATGATACGATATCTTATACAAATTTATGTTTTGGTGAATTACAGAGAGCTCGCATCGAAGAATCGGGTGGTGGTTCAAGTGCATTAAGGGAGTATTTAGGTACCCATGCGACTTTAGTCGATCCAGGAGCTGATACATATTCATGTGCATATCCCGACACCCGAATTCAAGAGTATTGTGTAAGTGTTATGCTTTTGACTAATTGAAAATTTTTTCTTGAATATGCTTATAATAATATTGTTGACTTAATATTTGAATACTTTATGTGGTGTAGGCTCAGGTGATCGAAAAGGCCAAATCATTAGGGGTCGATCGAGAACCCAAATCTACTACAATGACCACAGTCTTAGAGGATGTACATGGAGGGCATCATGGTGGTTGTAGGCATCGAAAATTGCCTATAGGTCTCCACGAACAGCTCAGTGTTAAGAAATGACGAACGTCACCATCTGGTTCACAGAAGCTTGATTGATGTCGG